TAGGATGATCAGGGGTGAGGCATCGTATTAAGCAGTCTGATATCTTGAATAGTTCATCGGGAAGGAAGGCTTTGCCTTTCCCTGTTGAGCCCTCTCTTTTCCAGCTGGCTTCTAGAGAGAACAGGTCTTCCTCAGGAATCTTGTTCTGCACCTTCTCTAGGAAGGGTTAAATCTGTATCAAAGAACACCAGGTGATTCTAAGGACTGTAGCCCTGCACTGCCTCTCCTGTGGCACTGTGAGCTACTCTGCCAGATTCCCCTCTGCCCCTTGCTCCCTCAGTGCTCCTGCTTCAGGGCCTTCTTTTTGTCTATCTAAGCAATCAGGACCAGGATAGAACTCTGAGCCCTCCAGCTCAGAGTCATAGTCAAGAACCTCTTGTGGTAGACAGCCCTGCATGTCCACACAGGCTGTGTGTGAGGATGCTTATTAACAGTGTGCAGCCCTGACCTACTCTTGTGCTGTCATTCTGAGCTAATTCTACCTCACTGGGACATGGCTTGTGGTGAGTCCATAAATGTAGCGTGATCATTCCTGGGAGTTTTAAGTCAAGATTTTCCTATCCAAATCCAGTGTTTGAAAACTCCTTCTCCAAGATAGACCCACCTTCTCATTCACACTTCTTCTGGTGGCGTGTGGGGGCCGTGGAGAGCATCATAGAGTGGAGTGTCAGCAAGATTCTATTTATTCACTCATTCGACTAACTTTTATTAATACTCTACCATATGTCAACTGATAACTGAAATTCAGTGATAGCAAGACACGATATATGTTACACTACCTTGAAGCAGCACCAATTCAGAAAAAAACACGGAAATATGTAATTAAAAGGTAATAACAACTGCTTGAAAAGAAGTGGATACCTTTATCTGTACATTGTGAAGAATAAAAACTCTACCTTGAAAAGTGAGTAAAAAACTTTACAAGTATTTGATTAATGCTAATTCTAGGTGATTGATTAATGGATAGTTAACGCTAAGGGCCATGACATACTTGTGAATTACTGTGAAATTTAGGGAGAATTGCAGAACATTTTTTGACCCAGAATGAAAAGTGAAAAATTTTATTTTATTTTGATAAAATATATTTAAAATTTACTGTTTATATTGTCAGAGATGGACCACAAAAATAAATGCAGTCGTTTTTTTGAATGGCCTGAAAATGAGTGGAGGGGGATTGTTTGTATTTTGTCTAGTTTATCATTTACTTTTTTATTAGTTTATCATTTCACTTGAAAGATGTTGATCCTTTTGTTTTGTTTTGTTTTTTAACTTTTGTTTAATAATTATAAATTTCAGGCTGGCTCCGCGGCTCACTAGGCTAATCCTCTGCCTTGCGGCGCCGGAACACAGGGTTCTAGTCCCGGTCGGGGCACCAGATTCTGTCCTGGTTGCCCCTCTTCCAGGCCAGCTCTTTACTGTGGCCAGGGAGTGCAGTGGAGGATGGCCCAAGTGCTTGGGCCCTGCACCCCATGGGAGACCAGGAGAAGCACCTGGCTCCTGCCATCGGATCAGCGCGGTGCACTGGCCGCAGCACGCCTGCCGCGGCGGCCATTGGAGGGTGAACCAACGGTAAAAGGAAGACCTTTCTCTCCTCTCTCTCACTGTCCACTCTACCTGTCAAAAAAAAAAAATAATTATAAATTTCCAAAGTATACCTTTTGGATTATAGGGGCCTTTTCCTCCCATAACCACCCTTCCACCGCAACCATCACATCTCCCACTCCCTCTCCCATCCCATTCAGATCAAGATTCATTTTCAATTATCTTTATATGCAGAAGATCAATTTAGTATATACTAAGTAGAGATTTCAACAGTTTGCACCTACAAAGAAACACAAAGTATAAAGTACTGTTTGAGTACTAGTTATACCGTTAAATCACATAGTACAACACATTAAGGACAGAGATCCTACATGGGGAGTAAGTGTATAGTGACTCCTGTTGTTGATTTAACAATTGACACTCTTATTTATAACCCGAGGCTCTTGTCATGAGCTGCCAAGGCTATGGAAGCTTCTTGAGTCCACAAACTCTGGTCTTATTTAGACAAGGTTATAGTCAAAGTGGAAGTTCTCTCCTCCCTTCAGAGAACGGTACCTCCTTCTTTGATGGCATATTGATTCTTATTAAGGATACTAATTCTTGTTCTGCTGTGTATGTATCAGTTATTTCTCCATTTCATTTTCCTAATTTTATTTTGTGCATGTGCATGTATTTAAGATATTTTTAGTCAAATGTATCAGTCTTTTGTAGAATATCTTTGTTGCTAGGCTCTGAAAAATCTTCTATCAAATGAAATTAGTGAATAACCAACTTATTTATAAATACTTAAGCTTATTATATATACACAAACACATCTTGAATCCCTCTGGAATGTATTCTCTATGATTAATGATGGGGACAAGGCTCATGTGTTCATCTACTAGCTAGCCGGTTGAGTTAGCATGTGGACTTCATTTGCTTATTGGAAATGCACCTTTAGCATTTAACTGATCCTTGGGCAGTTTTTAATGATTCTGATATCTGTTGAAAACCAGTGACTTGTCTTTTTGTTTTTAACCTACTAAAACATGATTTTGTTTGTATTCTTCATATTGTCTGTATGCTATTTTTATCCTTTTATGTTTTAATTTTAAAAGTGATTTATTTTTAAATAATTTTAATTTTTTACTTAGAAAATTTAGTCTCAACTGTAAAATCATCAAACAATACACACAGGCAAAAAAAAGTCTGTCAATTATTTGCATTGTTCCCACTAGAATCCCACTTCCCGTAATCAGTACCACCAGATTATTTTCAATGGACCTACTAGCCATGTATACAGGCTATTCTGCTGTGGTTCAATAATAGTTTTCCTCAAAATTCTTGCGAATGGTTACATTAATTAATAAAAAAATTAACTTTGGGGACAAATTATGCTCTAATTTCAAACATAAAACATAATTTTAATTTACCTTTCAGAGTTTCAATAATAAAGGAGTTTAAAAAGTAGTTTTAAGTATGATTTGTTATTATATTCAACTTTAAAGAAATAAAAATAATTGGTTACAATACAGGGGAGTGCTTTTTTTTGATACTTGCAATTTTTTTGTAATATCATCTCTGCTCTTATGTGTTCAAATCTTCCATAATGGAAACATTTTAAAGAAAAAAAGAAAATAACTGGATTAAATCTACCCAGCCTTGCCTCTCATTCTTCTTGGTTGCATTTGGCTTTGACTTTGAGTTTCCATAGCAATACACTTCCAATCCAAAAGTATAAAAAAGGTAAAAAAAATTAATGAGAACAATCATTTTCCTCAATCAAACACAGCACCCATGTGCTGCTTTGCTTTGCTCTTAACAAGGGTTTTCCTAATCTTGTAATTGCTTCTAGACCATGTTTTCTTCAGTGTACTGAGATGTTACATAATATGAAGTAGACTTGGTTACTGTTCTAAACTTTCAAAATAGCTTATATTTTAGTTAATCATTACATAAACACTATTCTAGATGCATAACTTTTGTTACCATTATATGTATGAAGAAAGCTAGCACAATGATTTGCAATTCATAACATACCAAGCAAGGGAGCCAATATTAAAATTCTGCAATACAGGTTCAGAGCCCTGTCATCAATCCAGGATCAGTGGGCTCCCCCTGCAGGAGAGATGCCTGCAGATAAGCAAATGTCACAGCTACAGACATATATACAAACACATTCCAATACGTGCTCCACTTAAAATATTAAAATGATATATCACGTGTAAGTCTGATCACATTCTTTTCACTTAATAACATAGCATAATCATCTTGCTACATCACCAAATTTGAAAGTAAGTTATATCCATTTAAATTCTGCTCAGAAGAAAAAATATGATTCTGGTTATTCATTTGATGTGCATTTGTTATTTTATTTTATTTTTTTTCTGATCTGAAGCCAGGAGCCAGGTGCTTCCTCCTGGTCTCCCATGCGGGTGCAGGACCCAAGCACTTGGGACATCCTCCACTGCACTCCTGGGCCACAGCAGAGAGCTGGACTGGAAGAGGGGCAACCGGGACAGAATCCGGTGCCCCGACAGGGACTAGAACCCAGTGTGCCGGCACTGCAAGGCGGAAGATTAGACTATTGAGCCACGGCGCCAGCCATTTTATGTTTATTTTTCTATTTACCCCTTTTTAGTGGATTTAAAGTCAGATCTTAAGTTATTTGCATAAATTTTTAAGGATTGTTCATGTTTTTCTTTGATTTTAAGAGGTCTTCATAAATCAAAAATAATAAAAAATATTTAAGTGCTTTGCAAATACTCAGACATCTCGAGATTTTCTTATATTTTTAATTTTGTTTGAGGTGGCATCCACTAAAATGGAAATCTGATATCTTTAAGGTGTTACATTTGTTAGCATTTCCTTCCTGATTGTTTCTTTCTGGTTGTTTTTGTAAAGGTTAGGAAAGCTTTTACTATTCGCGCATTGGCTAGATAGATAATATAAAGATAACTGTCCACCTAATTTCATAAAGAGATGAAATGTAAAAAATCAACTTTACTATGTATCTTCAGAAATGTTTTCAGAGAGTTTGTGGCATAAAACCTGTTACAAAGAAACAGTCATCATTCACTTTCCAAGCCTAGTACAAAGAAGTGCACAACAACAGCACTATCAGCATCCACAGAGTGGAAACACTGGGTGGCTCATCCAAAGCTCTGGTGTGTAGCATTCTCAGCATGATTTCTCCCCTACAGGTGCTACTAAGACATTTGAGGAAGAGAGAATCAGAAATGGCTTTCAATTCTCAGAACTACGAGCAAAAAAAAAAAAAAAAAAAAACAAAACAAAAAACAAAAAAAAAAAAACCAAAAATTAAAAAGCAAAGACTTTTTACAAATTGAATTATTAAGAAATAGAGATAAGCCAAATTAGGGGTACCTGTTAATTAATATAATAACAAAGTTACTCAGATTATTTTATGTAACTGATGACTGTGTTTCATTTATTGCTGGCAACCAATAGGCAGAAATAAACATCCATGGGAGAGGAGAACCAGTCCTCCGTGACTGAATTTGTCCTCCTGGGCCTTTCCCAGGATCCAGAGACACAAGTGCTGCTCTTCTTCCTCTTTCTGAGCATCTACCTGCTGACCGTGCTGGGAAACCTGCTGATCCTCACGCTCCTTCACATCGACTCCAGACTCCACACACCTATGTACTTTTTCCTGAGAAACCTGTCTTTTGCTGATCTCTGCTTTTCGACTACCACAGTGCCCCAGGTGCTAGTTCACCTCCTGGTAAAAAGGAAAACCATTTCCTTTGCTGGGTGCTCCACACAGATAATTGTTTTGCTTCTGGTGGGGTGCACAGAGTGTGCACTGCTGGCAGTGATGTCCTATGACAGGTACGTGGCTGTCTGCAAGCCCCTGCACTACTCCAGCATCATGACACACTGGGTGTGTGTCCAGCTGGCTGCAGGGTCCTGGGTCAGTGGAGCCTTTGTGTCCCTGGTGGACACCACATTCACGCTGCGTCTGCCCTACAGAGGGAAGAATATCATTAACCATTTTTTCTGTGAGCCTCCTGCCGTTCTGAAGCTGGCTTCAGCAGACACCTACAGCACAGAAATGGCCATCTTTGCCATGGGTGTGGTGATCCTCTTAGCTCCTGTCTCCCTCATCCTCATCTCTTACTGGAATATCATCTCCACCATAATCCAGATGCAGTCTGGGGAGGGGAGGCTCAAAGCTTTTTCCACCTGTGGTTCCCATCTCGTTGTTGTTGTTCTCTTCTATGGCTCAGGAATATTTGCCTACATGAGGCCCAACTCCAAGATAATGAATGAGAGGGATAAGATGATCTCTGTGTTCTACTCGGCAGTGACACCCTTGCTGAACCCCATCATTTACAGTTTGAGGAACAAAGATGTCAAGAGGGCCTTCTACAGAATAATTGCAAATTAGCAGGCTTTGAAGGTGGTGATCTCCATGATGACCAGTAGGGATCCGTGGAGAGAAATGGTTGTCTTGTAAGTTATTCCCATTTTTTTTCCCATCTCTCCACTTTTTGCTTCGTCATGGTTTCTTATAGTCTCCAGATCATTTCCTCTAATTGCCGTTTAACAGCCAGGCACCTCAGTAGACACAGGAAGGACACTAATTTAATTTAAAGGAAAAAGGATTAAGGAGATTGAAGGAAAGTTAGGTCGTAGGGAAGGAAGGAAGGGGTGAAAGTACAGGAGGAGAGGGGAAGGAAGGAACTGGGAAGGAAGGAAGAGGAAACAGAGGAGGGAGACGAAGATGTGAAGGAACAAGTAGAGGGAGGGGATGAGGAAGGAGGGGAAGAAGTCAAAAGAAGCCAACAACTTAAAATAAATATGGTTTTATTTTATGTCAAAAAGAGAAAAAGATTCAATAGACAACACAAAACTATCATAAATGTAAGAATCTGTTTTGGCAAAAAGAGTGATTTCCTTTATTCTTGCTTGTGATTACCATGTTGCTTTTGAATGACTGGATCCCTGGTATATTTATGGAGTTTGGAATATATCAATAAAAATAAACTCTTCCTAGTGTCATATTTGCTTTTTAAAAGATTTATTTATTTATTTGCAGGGCATAGTTACAGAGTGAAATGGAGAGAGAGAGAGAAAATATCTTTCATCCTCTGGTTCATTCCCCAAATGACTAGAAAAGCCTAACTGGTCTACGCAAAAGGTAGGAGCCAGGATCTTCATCCAGATCTCCCACATTGGATGGCAGGGACCAAAGAACTTGGTTGATCATCTGCCAGTTTCTAAGTCTCATTAGCAGGGAGTTGGATCAGAAGTGGAGCAGCTGGGATTTGAACCTATGCCCATAAGTGATCCCTATGTCTCAGGCACTGGGTCAACCTGCTGAACCACAACACCGGCCCCCATAGTGTTATGTTTCTAACATGGTCATCCAGTCTAAATTTAACAATTGCTGAAACTGAGGAGAGTACATTTAAGGAATTATTTATTGAAATTTTTCTAAGCCTGTGTATGTTAGGAAAACATAAATAAGGCTAAAAAGAAAAAGTGTCTAGATTAGAAATCTATTGAATTCAATAATAAAAACATGCCCAACTTGTTCTGAGGAGAGCTAAAGATTAGGAGATTTATGGGATAGTGAGGAGCAACTGAGGATAAATGTGATAAAAGAAGATTGAGGGCACTGTCTTAAACATTAGTAAGGCACTTAAACTTTAAAATGTAAACAAATATTTCATTACATGATATATAATGGTCCCTGCTTTCTTATTAAAAATAATACTTCTATAAGTTTAAAATGACAGAGAAAAGTAGTGGCTGAATAAGATACTCCTTTATTGTTTCCCCACAGAGATCCCATTTAGAACAGCTATTCCTGCACTAATATGCATTTACCGAAACTGAGGGAGCCAGTGGACAGACTGTAGTGCCTGGTACAATGAGAAGAGAAGACAAATTGAGGAAAGAGGAAGGAAAGAGTTGCCTGTGTCATCCTCCTAACTCTAAGCAGCACAACAAGGAGAGGGGGGAGTGGAAGGGGACCCAGTACCAGGCCCACCATGGTGAAACCCAGTGCCAGGCAGAGTCCCAAAGCTCCTACTTCCAAACCAGTACCTGCACACCAAGTCCCTGAAACTCTGTCAGCCAGGAGGCCAAAGGACTGTCACCACCACCTCTCCCTCTGCCTTGAGCAGCACATGCCAGTCACTGTGGAATAGTGTAGGAAAGAGTGCAAAGAACTAGACATTGTAGAGTGAGGAGTTCCACAATGGCTTTATTCAGAAGGGAAGTAGCGCGCAACGTCTTTGTTCCAAGTCTTGAGATCAGCCTTGAGTTGAGTTACGAAACTGTTTTACATTGCCCTAGATAAAAATCCCAACCCATATGGCACTCTGCATCATGAAGTGTCTGGCTGTATGGAGCGACCTTGAGACCCACGTGCCTGGATTCCATGAAGTAGCTGCTCCCTAACTCATGTTGTGACTTAGCTGTAAGGCCTCATCCACCCTCCTGTGGCCCCAAGAGAATCTGCGCATCAGACCCTGCCTCTCATTAAGAGTTCGCTGCCCTCCTGACTCTCTCCTGGCTTTGAAAGCAGCCTGAAAGCCTCAGTCATGCATCCTCTATCCAGCAAGCAGCTGGACCGCCATCCCTGAGTAGTTTGGCCCACAGAGTCAAAAATATGGCCCTGACTAACCAGTCAAAACTGCAAGAAACAAACACTTTTCCTGAGTACTTGGACTATTCTAGACTGCTGAGATGCTCCTCCCATTCTCTGGTGATCTCAAAAAGCCATTGAGGGCCTGCCGTGGTGGGACTCGCAGGACGCCGGCTTGCGACTGCTCTACGTCCTCTCCACGCCACCTTCTGCCATTTCGCGGCCCCAAAGGGCTGGGCGCGGGGAAGACCTGCCGGCGCCATGGAGGACGAGGTAGGTAGTCCGCATCGCCAAGAAGATGGACAAGATGGTGCAGAAGAAGAACACGGCTGGAGCATTGGATTTGTTGAAGGAGCTTAAAAATATTCCTATGACCCTGGAATTATTACAGTCACAAGAATTGGAATGTCAGTTAACGCTATTCGCAAGCAAAGTACAGATGAAGAAGTTACATCTTTAGCAAAGTCTCTCATCAAATCCTGGAAAAAGCTATTAGATGGAAAGAAAAAAGAACCTGCAATTACATCACAGAATAGCCCTGAGGCAAGAGAGGAAAATATCTCCAGTGGCAACGTGAGCAACAGAAAGGATGAGACAAATGCTCAAGATACTTACGTTTCATCTTTTCCTCAGGCACCAAGCACTTCTGATTCTGTGTGGTTAAAGTGTAGGGAGATGCTGGCTGCTGCTCTCCGAACAGGAGATGACTACATTGCCATTGGAGCTGATGAGGAAGAATTGGGATCTCAAATTGAGGAAGTTATATACCAAGAAATAAGGAATACAGACATGAAATACAAAAATAGAGTACAAAGTAGGATATCAAATCTTAAAGATGCAAACAATTCAAATTTAAGGAAAAATGTATTGTGTGGGAATATTCCTCCTGATTTATTTGCTAGAATGACGGCAGAGGAAATGGCTAGTGATGAGCTCAAAGAAATGCGGAAAAACTTGACCAAAGAAGCCATCAGAGAACATCAGATGGCCAAGACAGATGGAACGCAGACTGACTTGTTCACATGTGACAAATGTAAAAAGAATTGCACCTACACTCAGGTGCAAACCCGTAGTGCTGATGAACCAATGACCACATTTGTTGTTTGTGATGAATGTGGAAATCGATGGAAGTTCTGTTGAGTTGGAAGAATTGGCAAAATATCTGGACCATTAAGAAAACGAATATTGTAATTAGCTTTCAAACTAGGCCAAGTAACTAGTTTTCTTGCAAAACAAATTTTTAAAGCAACATACATCCCTTGGATTAATCTGTTTTCAACTGAACATCCCTTCCTTTAAATGCCTTTTGTAGTCAGATCAGTAGGGCCACCATATATTAATTGTATGGTATCTGTTTTATAAGTAAGTTGACATTAAACTTTCATCGGTTAAACTTTCAGTAATTTAAGGTTTTTTTCTCCTTAAAAAAGTTCTTTAACTTTTACAATCTGAAACATACACAGTAGATATTTTCTGTCCCTCTGTTAACCCATAAATGAAAATTACATTGTTTTCTATATTGGCATGTACTTACACCAGATATTACAGGAATATAAAAGGTAATATAATTTTAAGTTTACCAAATATGGTGTGTATTCAAATGATACTTGACCAGCTTACCTAAATTGTATATAATATTTGAACTAGCACATTAATTTGATTTTAATTATTCACAAGCCTGGATAATTAGATATTATTTTGCATCTGTAACTAACCATGATCATCATTTCTTGTAATTTCTTGTACATGTATATTACTTGTTCTTAATAAATTTTACTTTTGGAAATATGAAAAAAAAAGCCATTGAGAACATTATTCTCAGAAATTCAGCCAGCGAGACACTGATAAGCACACATTCAGCCTTACATACCTACACTGAGCCCCAACCAGCAGCTGGGCAGCCTTACGGAGTAGGTCAGTCCCCTGAGGCTCTGTGAAGTTACCTGTGTGGCTGCTAATCATTCCACAGCTGTGGCCCCACCCCGCTTCAAACTTCAGACACTGACAGGGACCCCAGCTTACAAGTGGGAATGCTGTGCTACATCCATCTTTGTCCATAGGATGGCCACACACTCACATGACCTGAAGGAACTGGTGAGAGCCCATGCCTGCAGAGAGGCACACCATTCACAGAGCTACCAGTGAATCTGCCCCATGGAAGGTACTGGTGGTGTAATCTCACAACTCCTGTGGCCCAACCAATGAGAAACTCATAGACACCATTGACTAGGTTTTACTGAATTTGTGTTTTGAAGAAATATGTGCACTTAATGTACGTTGCTAAAATTATTAGTGCAAAATCAATAAGTGCTGTTTTATAATTAGAGCTACTCAAAAAATGAAAATAGAGCTGCTCTCTGATGCATTAATCCCACTGCTCTTTCAACATGCCAGTGAAATGAAATCAATCTATTTAGAGACATCTGCATTCACAATTTTATTGTGGCACTATTCCAATAGCTAGGATATTGAATCAAAAAACTTAAAAAGTAGATGAGTGAGTAATGAAAATGTGGTATGGCTCAATGAATTAAGCCACTGTCTGTGACACTAGCATTCCATATGGGTACTGACTCAGTTCTAGCTACTCTGCTTCCAATCCAGCTCCCTGCTAATATGCCAGGGATGCAGGAGTGGATGAACGCAGCACTTAGTTCTTTCTTACCTACATGGAAGACCTGGCTGTAGTTCCTGGATCCTGGCTTCCACCTGCTCAATCTTGATATATCATAGCTATTTGGGGAGTGAATTTGCAAGTGGAAGGACTCTCTCTCACTCGTTCACTCGCTCACTCTTTTCTCTCTCTCTCTTCATCAGTATGGCATTTCCTGTTCACATTTATATAGCCATTCTGGTATTCTGAGCCCTCACCAGATTCATTCATAACTCTCTGTTTAGAGCATTCTTGGTTTTCTCTATTCTCCTCTCTAACATTTTTGCAACATTTTAGAGCAAACCAAAGGGCTCTTCCACATCTTCAGGTTTAAGTATAGCAACGATTCCACTGCTAAGTACTGATTTTCTGTATTAGTCAACTTTTTATCACTGTAATGGAATACTTGAGGTAACCATCTTCACAAAGGCAAAAGGTTTTTAGCTCACAGTTTTGGAGCTCGAAGTCCAAGATTGGTAGCCCCATTGGTTTGGCCTCTGTGAAGGTGGTAAATGCAGTGCAGGCATTTTGAGGACAATCACATGTTCAGCCAGCAATCAGAGTGAGGTGGGGCTAACCTCCAACTTTTTTTTTTTGGACAGGCAGAGTTAGACAGTGAGAGAGAGACAGAGAGAAAGTCTTCCTTTTCCGTTGGTTCACCCCTAAATAGCCACCAAGGCGGGTGTGCTGCGGCCGGTGTGCTGCGCCAATCCGAGGCCAGGAGCCAGGTGCTTCCTCCTGGTCTTCCATGTGGGTGCAGGGCCCAAGGACTTGAACCATCCTCTACTGCCTTCCCGGGCCACAGAAGAGAGTTAGACTGGAAGAGGAGCAACCGAGACTAGAACCTAGTGCCCCTATGGGATGCTGGTGTTGCAGGCAGAGGATTAACCAAGTGAGCCATGGTGTCAGCACCAATAGTTAAGCCTGTAAAAAAAAAATAGAATGGATACTAGCTTTGTGATGTATAGTAGTATATACTATTATGGAAGGAAAAGCTGAGTATTATTAAAAATTTATAATTTACAAATTAATTTGTAAGTTTAATAGTTGAAGCAAATTACCAGTTGGCTTTAAGATGTAGATTACTGAATCAAATTTTTTCAGTAAGAAGAAAGTATCAGTAGGTATAAAACTCTCATAAGAATTGCTGTTGTGGTTCTGTTGTGGTGACTGTTCCACAAAGTGGTTGACATGCATTGATCAATGCACTCATATATATCTGGCTGATTTTTATCTGTTTGGTCCATGAGTTACTAAAAGAAAAGTATTAATTATCTAACTGTGTGGATTTTTTTCAGTTTCTTATTTAGTTCTGTGGGTTTTGTCTCATGTTCTTTTAGATTTATTTTTTATTTATTTGAAAGACTTACAGAGAGAAATAGAGACAGAGAGAAAGAGTGAGAAGGGTCTTCCATCCTTTGGTTCACTTCCCAAATGGCTGTGATGGCCAGAGCTGAGCTGATCTGACACTAAGAGCCAAGAGCTTCTTTAGGGTCTCCCACATAGGTGCAGAGGCCCAAGAACATGGGTTGTCTTCCACTGCTTTCCCAGGCAAATTAGCAGGAAGCTGGATGGGATGTGAAACAGCCAGGGCTCGAATGAATGCCCATATGGGATGCTGGCACTGCAAGCCTGGGCTTTAACCTGCTGCACCACAGTGCTGCCCCTCATGTCCTTTGAAATTTGTTTTATGAACATGGACATTTATGACTATTATATCATAATGACACATGAGCTATTTATTGTGAAGAAAAGTCTCTACATCTGCGGTAACATATTTTACATAAATATTGTTATTTTGTACCAAATATGATACACACTTGAGCTTTTTTTTTAAAAGATTTTATTTATTTGAGAAGTAGAGTTACAGATAGTGAGAGGGAGAGACAGAGAGAAAGTTCTTTCTTCTGTTGATTCACTCCCCAAATGACTGCAACGGCTGGAGCTGCACCGATCCCAAGCCAGGAGCCAGGTGCTTCTTCCTGGTCTCCCATGTGGGTGCAGGGGACCAAGCACTTAGGTCATCCTCTACTGCCTTTCCAGGCCACAGCAGAGAGCTGGATTAGAAGAGGAGTGGCCGGGACTAGAACCAGCATCCACATGGGATGCTGATACCACAGGCAGAGGATTAACTTGCTGCCACACAGCACCAGCCCCCTCAACTTGAGCTTTTTATGATTAGTGTTCATATAGTATATCTCTGTAAAATATTTATTTTTATTTAAATGGCAGAGATGGAGAGAGGTCTCATCTTTGATTCAGTTTCCAAATACCTACAATGACTGGGACTGTGCTGTGTTGAAATCATCAGCCAGCAATTCAGTTACTTGCATCATCCAGCCCCCTAGAATCTGAATTAGCAGGAAAGTAGAGCTGGAAGCCAGAACTGTGTATCAAACCAACATACTCCAATATGGGATGCAGTTTTCTTTACTACACTGTACATCCCACTCTGCATGGTGCATCTTCTTTTACTTTTAGTTTGTGTACCTGTATTAAAATGGATCATTTATGGATTTGCATAATGAAATGTCTTGTTCTTTTAATCAAACCTTACGAGTTCTGTGTTAATCATCAGTCCATTTACATTTAATTAAAATGTGGTTGAAATTAAAAAAAAAAAAAAAGAATTGCTATGCAGGCCGGCGCCGCAGCTCACTTGGCTAATCCTCCACCTGCGGTGCCAGCACCCTGGGTGCTAGTCCCGGTCGGGGCACTGGATTCTGTCTTGGTTGCTCCTCTTCCAGTCCAGCTCTCTGCTGTGACCCGGGAGTGCAGTGAAGGATAGCCCAGGTCCTAGGGCCCTGCACATGCATGGGAGACCAGGAGGAAGCACCTGGTTCCTGGCCTTGGAACAGCACAGCACGCTGGCAGTAGCAGCCACTTGGGGGTGAACCAATGGATAAAGGAAGACCTTTCTCTCTGTCTCTCTCTCTCACTGTCTAACTCTGCCTGTCAAAAAAAAAAAAAAAAAAAGAATTGCTATGCAGAATGCAGACAAATTCAGAGTGCTCTGATACTATAGGCATGGTACATAACCATATGTCTTTATTATTAAGGTCAGAAACAAAGCAACTAAAATTGATAACTACATTAATATGTTAAGAAATAGATAATATAAAAATATGAAATGAGACTCAAAATAGCAAATTGGAGGTGAAACCAAGTGCAGGTGTAGAGATTTTTATAGTATTTTATTTCTTTTGTGAACTTTTCATATAATTTATGATCAATTTTATCATTTCAACATGCTATCAAATCAACTAGCATCTTTACTGAAAAGATTTTTTGTGAGCCTCATGGTAGCAAAGAACAAAAATCTATAACTGATATAATAAATAGGACACAAAATAAAAGACTCAAAGCCAGAGATGAAAAAGGAGACACTGCAACAGACACTACAGAAATACAAATGATATTATAAGCTGTTATAATCAACTATATGACAACAGATTTTACTACAAAGGTGAAATGGACAAAGTTTTGAACATATACATCATACCAAGAGTGCGTGAAGCGATGGGAAATCTGAGCAGATCAATAATAACTAACAAGATTGAATTAGCATAAAAATTGCCCATTAAAGAAACACCTATGACCAACTGACTTCACTAATTTTGTCAAATATTTAAAGAAGAATAATACCAATTCTTCTCAAAACTATTCCAGAAATTGAAGAAGAGGGAGTTTTTCCTAAGTCATTTTGTAAGGCTAAAATTATTCTGATATCAAAACCAGACAAAGACAGAATAACAGTAAAAAAACAAACAAACAAAAAAACCTACAGGCCAATATCCCTGATGAATCTACATGAAAACATAGTCAATAAAAGACTAGCAAACTTCCAAAATCACATTAAAAAGATTATTCAGCATGACCAAGTATGAGCTATCTCAGGAATGCAGAATGGTTGAACAAATCCAAATTAACCATCAGTATATACCATTAGAATGAAAGATAAAAGCTATGTGATCATCTCAATATACGCAGAAATACATTTTATAAAATTCTATATCCTTCCTTGATAAAAACACTCAAAAATTAAGTATGAATGGAAATGTACTTTAGCATAGTAAAGGTCATATGTAATAATCCTACAGCTAACATCACATTCAATAGTGAAATATTGAAGGCTTTCCCTTTAAAATGAGAAGTAAGTTATTCATGCCCACTGGTCCAACTTCTATTCAGCATAGTTTTAGAACTCCTACCCAAAGCTGCTAGGCATAAGATAGATATAAAATTCATCCACTTGGAACAAAATAGCCTAAGAATGAACCCATTTATATATGGTCAATTGATCTTTGAAAAGAGTGCCAAGAACACAAAATGGTGAAATATTTTAAAATAAATGGCATTTAAAATTGAATATTCTCATGTAAAAGAATGAAATGAGGCCCTTGTATTAACCATATACATAAATTAACTTGAAATGAATTAGACTCAAATGTTGGATATGAAACCATAAAACGCTTGAGAGAAAACATGGGGTTATAAAGCTCCTTGATATTGGTCTTGGCAATAATTTTTTTTTTGACGTGACACCAGAAATACAGCAACAAATGCAAAAATAATCAAGTGGTGCCTTAACCACAACACCACACCAGATGTTCACTTCTAAGTCTTACTTTTCAGAGGAATAGTACCATCCTATGATCGTAAATTGTGTGTGTCGGCTTGACTAAGCTGAGATAGCTGATAAAACATTAATTCTGGGTGTGTCCATGAGGTTTTATTTTCTGGAAGAGATTTAAATTTGAGTCAGTAGGCTGACGAATGAAGCTCCACCTTCAGCAGTGTGGGCAACCATCTAATCCATAGAGATCTCATGGATTCTAGGTTGAGAGGTCAAGGAAATGTGAATCCTCTCCCTCTCCCTCTCCTTCTCTCCCTCTCCCTCTTCCTCTCCCTCTCCCTCTCTCCCTGTTTTTCCCTCCCTTCCTCTCTTTTAGTTTCTCCCTCTCTCTGTCTCTCTATCCATCTCCTCCTGCCCTTGGACATTGGAGTTTCAGATTTTCAGGACTTCATGCTTTGAAACTGAAACACGCCTTCCACCAACATTTCTGAGGTCTTTGGCCTCCAACTTCAAGTTATCCCATCAGCTCACCTGGTTCACAGGCCTTCTGACATGGCCTGAATTATACCAATGGTTTTCCTGGTTCTTCAGCTTTCAAATGACATGTGGTACTTCTCAGCCTTCAGAACTATGTAAGTAAATTTCTATAAATAACTCTCCTCTTGATTCTATATGATTCTTTTTCAGTTCTTCTGGAGTGTCCTAATACACTATTCTTGGTGATGTTTTGGAACCATGTAAAGTCATTTTTGTTTGCCATAATGATTTGAAATTAGGGGCACTGCTGACTGACATCTAATGGGCAAAGGCCAGGGATACTAAGTGCTAGTCAATGCATGAAAAGGTTTTGTACATTTTCTTCAATTCATAATAACTTTGAATGCCTCACAGAACATTTAAGCATATAGGAAACCTGATTATCATATGAATCTAGAACCTAACTCTGTCAAGAGTCTTACAGAACCTAAGGCAAAATTTTTTATGCAGATGCTGTATTGGGGTGTACAAACCCAGAGAAGCAGAAGCTTTGGGAAAAGAGTGAATACAGAGCAGAATGTTCAAAAAGTAATGTACAAAGAATTAGTTTTCATGAAGTTGGCCCGAGACTCACTAAGACTTTTTTTATTGTTCTCAAAATATCTTGTGAGAGATGTCTTAATGAAATCTTAATTTAACACCAATAGTCTATCTTCAGGAAGGATAGAACAACATATGGGCTAGCTTCAATCAATCTCAAATCTGCATCATATGAGAACGCTAAACCTTGACGATTGTGTCTTACCTTTTACAGCAATAGTAAACCCTCAGGTCTGGGAATAGTAGCACACAGAGGATGTGTGAAATTAGTGCTATTGTCTGTTACTGATGATACATATGAATGGGTTGGCTCAAAACAGACCAGCTGCTACTATTATCATGACCATAAGTCAAGCCAAAGTACCCAGATTTTCTGTGGTTTGTACATTTAATTTTATCTATACTCTGATATAATCATATATAAATATAAGATGATTTGTCAATTTTAATATGCATTGAATTTTCTAGGAATAAATTTTTGGTATAAGTTGAAGAAAAGTTATTTCTTGTTTTTTTTTTCAGAACGGTAACTAGAATTGCTAATCTTTTTTAAAAATATAAAACCCTCAAAGAAAATCCACTTTTGAAATCTCAAATGCCTTTAAAACTTCATTGTTAAGGTTGTGTTTATAGTTGTCCCATTCATAGTGATTTCATGTACAGATGAAGCCATATGCATCTGTTAATACCTCTTGATAATTATATTTCATATTTACTTACTAAACAATATTTTATTTTGAAATTACCTTATTTCTGTAATGTAGTATATTATTTTATTAATTATGAAAATATTTATTATGTGAAAGAGGTATAGGTATGATCATGCTGCAGAAAACTGTCCTGTATTCTCTTTATAGATGACCTTATTTATTTCCAAAGCTTTTGATGCTCTCTGTTAGTAACCATTCCCAAATTTACATTTTCATTCTAGACTATTCTTTGAAATCCAAAGTAGTATATCTGTCACTAACAACACCAGGAACTATTCATAGGAGTCATCCATATATACTTAACACTCAAATCATTATTTGGAAAAATATTTATATATATATATATGATATGATATGCATAAAAGTGATAAATAGTTCATATATATGTGTAGAACATCATGAGACTTTAGTGGATATTCCATTTTTTTTATCAAGTGAGATACTTCTAGGTGATTGAGAGTATGATAATGTTGAAAATTCCATAGGTGCGAGCCTACTGACATAGTTTTTGTCATAAAATATATCTACTCTTTGGAAGATAATGAATGATTAGATTTTGAACAGTGGAGTGAGAATTAGTTATCAAGATTTTCAGAAAAGGGATTGTTAAGAGTTTAATTTCTATTAACATAAACAGAACAGATTTCATGTATTTAATAGATACAATTCTAAGAAGATAAACACACTTGCTCCAACTGGGGCATTTTTTCTCACAACAATATTTAGGGAATTATAAGTATGTAAAAGTGCCTTGAAAATGCCAAATGAGTTCCTATGTAGACAGGGAAGATGAAATTTCATGGTACAAAATTTGGCAAACCATAATGAGACTAGGAACTATGGTAGTGGGGGAATTTTCTTTAGAATAAGAAATTGATTGCCTAGATTTTTTTATCAAGGAATCTGGGTGCAAAATTTGCTCTTTATAGGGAAGATTTCAAAAGAGGCAAAAGTGTAGGGTTCCCAGCCAACTGTTTATGGAGCTCTGGAACCTCCATATAGCACAAAGAATGGCAGAAAGAGGTGACACTCGGGCAGGGGCTCAGCGAGTTTAAGCTCTAGCCCACAATGCCAGCATCCCATATGGGTGCTGGTTTGAGTTCTAGCTGCTCCACTTCCTGTCCAGCTCTCTGCTATGGCCTGGGAAAGCAGAAGATGGCCCAGATCCTTGGACCCCTGCACCAACGTGGTTGACCTGGACAAAGATCCTGACTCCTGGCTTCGGATTGGCTCAGCTCTGGTCATTGTGGTCATTTGGAGAGTGAACTAGAGGATGGAAGACTTCTCTCTCTCTGTTCTCTCTCTCTGCCTCTACCTCGCTCTGTAACTCTGCCTTTCAGATAAATGAAAGAAATTTTTAAAATAATTAAGAAAGAAAGAAAGAAAGAGAGAGAGAGAAAGAGGTGACACTCAGGCTATCTCAGACCTAACTTTTCAAGAACTATTCAGCCACATCCTCCTGATTTATTGTCCCATGATTACGGTAAACATAAATGGAGGATTGCCAAATTAATTGAGTAAGTGTTGAAATGGTCTCTTATATAGAAATAAATAAGCCAAAAAGAAATCTTGAATTATGAACATGGGGGTGGGCTATTTTATGATAGTTACTGCACAATCTGATAAAAAGAAAAGGTCAGCAGTCCATCATGACAACAATCCTTTTCTAAATTGTATACATCTTCGGTTGTGGTTATACTGCTGTTGTTATTTAGTTATTTGTTTTGCCTGAGATCATGGTTAGAATGAGATTCCTAAGTTCATGATAAAATAATCTTCAATTTTTATGGACCAAAATTCAAGTGATATAATGGTGAGAACACTAGGAGCAGAGCACATGATGTTCTTGAGAAAGGAAACACAGTTCTCTACTATCTATTCCCATATCCCCACAATGCTGTACTGAACTTCAGTTTTCTTCCTCCTTCTTCTCATACAATGCTCAATTTCCAGAACTGTACTAGAAGGGAAGTCATATTTCTTATGCCTAATTAGTAAATGACGAGAAAAATAGAATAAAAACATATCACCAAGTATTAATCAGTGTTTATTAATGAAACTGCTGTCATCTATGGAGAGGAAGTATCTTCCCTCCGGGAAGGTAGCAGTGTGCTCAGCAGCATCCTCAATGAGTAAGTAACTAGACTTATGGCAGGTGACAAGGTAAAAAGGTCGTGACATTTTGATTGTTGACTTGAGGGACAGCAGAAAAAATCATCCACAAGAACCACAGAAAGAGTAAAATTACATGTAGAAAAAAACGTAGAAGAAATAGTAAAGAAAGAAAAAAAGGCAATGAACTTAGTTATGAGAAAAGAGTATCTTCAGACTAGTCAGTGGAGAACACTCTGCCATATATGTCACATATATGAACAGAACAAAAAGATACATGCAGACCATGTTACTTGTTCTTCCATGGTGTAGATAGGTAGACCAGTATACTCTGTTGGGTAGGTTGGCCTCCAGAGTCAGACCTTTTGGCTTCTGTCTTAGGTCTGTTAGAGTTTCACTGATTAATCTTCAGGTGACAGACTGAGACACATTTCAAAATATCTGCCCACAGAAAAGGAGAATAAGTGTCTAGCACAGAACAAATCATGGGAATGAGAGAAACGGGTGTTTCCCTTCAGACTGGTGACAAAGCCCCTCCCTTGTGAGATTTATGTCCCTGACTCATGAATTTACTTCAAGAGTTATCTTGGTGAATGGTATCATATCAGCAGATCTGTTTGGCCTAGAACCACCAGTGTATTTGCTGAAAATGAAGATTTCTCTACCTGACATTATGGAATCCTAATTTCAGTGTGTTTAGGGTGTCAAATTAAAAAAAAAAAAAAACATAAAAAAAGACTAACATAAGAAGTGGTTTACTTAGAAAGACTATTGCAGTAGGAAGAATGATTTTTCCTCAGAAATAATTAGGATTTTATTTCTTTATTTGAAAGCCAGAATTACACACAGAGAGAAGGAGAGGCAGAGAGAGAGAGAGGTCTTCCACCTGCTGGTTCACTCCCAAGTTGGCTGCAATGTTTGGAGCTGCGCTGATCCGAAGTCAGGAGCCATGAGCTTTTTCTGAGTATCCCACATAGGTGAGGGGTCTAAGGAATTGGGTCATCTTCTGCTTTCACTGGCCATAGCAGAGAGCTGGAAGTGGAGCAGCTGGGTCTCGAACCAGTACCTGTATGGAATGCCAGCACTGCAGGCGGCGGCTTAACCCTCTATGCCACAGCACCTGCTGCAATCACTAAGATTTAAAAATCAAACAGAAAAAACTTTTCTTAGAATTAATCAGAAGGTAGCAGAGAAAAGAAAAATCTTTGGAGCAAGAGCTTAACTTACAAGGTCAAAGGGTCAATGGGCTTTGGCTTGAAAAGACCCTCACTGTGGTTAGCTGTTCCCCATAAAAAGTTAACAAGAACATTGTCTGTGTGTGTGTGTGTGTGTGTGTGTGAGTGTGATTGTCAGTTGAGAGCAATCAATATTTTGGACCCCTAAGAAAGAGAGAAACCTGACTAGATTTTGATCAATACAAAGCAGAGTATGAGACATAGGCTATTATGAACATTTGAGCTAGCTCAGTGCTGTTGTTCACATTTTTAAACTAGATGCTACAAAGCTCTGAAGATATGGCTCTCAGAACAGGCCAAATAAATTTCAGAGTTCTTAACATAGTACCAGTGAGAACTCGCCTTGTGTATAAGAGTGGTAGACCCACTGTCATTAGTCAGTGGTGGGAAACATACACCTAGAGAATCTCAGTAGTGTCAGAAATTCTAAAGTGCGCGAAGCTACCACTACTGGGAAGTAGAATGCCAACCTCAATAGATACTACCTTGATCAGAGAAGGTCAGAAGACCATACTGCTTAGCACAGACCGGAAATGTATCTGGCAATTTTCTCCATAGTCTGCATGCTATGAATTTTGAAGATGGAATAATTTTCCCCATGATGAAGATGATACACACACAGGCTAGGGCAGCCAGCATTTTGTGTGCTAATGTGAATTGAAATATAACAGAAAGAGATGACCAAAGCTAATCTGAAGTCTGCTCCAGGAAGGAACAGTTTCAAGCACAGTGCAGATGTGGGTTTTCAGGAACACCTAAGCAGAAAATGGACAAGATACACAGTCCACCATAGAATACATTCACTGAAATTTAAATACCTGCCCAATCTCAGAAATTAACAAAATTTATAGAAATATGGAGCAGCTATGTTGACAAGTAAAGAAGAGTATTTAGTTTAAAGGAGATAACATGAAGATAATAAAATAGTGCAGTAAAACGAAAGTCAGCAAATGTTTTCCAGAAAATGACAGAGCTTAAGCATTTTATAGTACTCAGTGAGAAGTTTATCACAAAAGTGGACACAGGCCGGCGCCGCAGCTCAATAGGCTAATCCTCCACCTTGCGGCGCCGGCACACTGGGTTCTAGTCCCTGTCGGGGCACCGGATTCTGTCCCGGTTGCCCCTCTTCCAGGCCAGCTCTCTGCTATGGCCAGGGAGTGCAGTGGAGGATGGCCCAAGTGCTTGGGCCCTGCACCCCATGTGAGACCAGGAGAAGCACCTGGCTCCTGCCATCGGATCAGCGCGGTCTCGGCAGCCATTGGAGGGTGAACCAACGGCAAAGGAAGACCTTTCTCTCTGTGTCTCTCTCTCACTGTCCACTCTGCCTGTCAAAAAAAAAAAAAAAAAGTGGACACAGACAATATCTAAGTAAACATGTATAACTGTATTATCTTAATTTCATTTAAAAAACTGGTGATGTGTTTGATTTTGTCTTTTGCCTCTAGCTTGTTAATCTCTGCTATAACACTCTTATTTTGGTATAGTAATCAGTAGAAAAATAGATATATTTGGGTTACAAAAGGCAAGACTAAGAATATTTTACATTTGAAAAAGCACTTATCATGCCCTTGATTATCAGCTAGGTCACCAATGATGGAATGTGAAAATGTACTTAATAATCTGAAATACCTTCTATTTTTTGGATCTTCCTTTTTCAGTAAGTGGTTCTAGGAGCAGGCTGGATTTTCCACAAGGGAAAGGAGGGTTCTTTAAAAAGATCTCTTGTTCCCGTATCACTTTGTTGATGGAGCCAGATGATTCTTCCCACTTACTAAGATACAGCAAAATATTGTGCCAACAAGAACCTGCTCTTCTTCTCTGGTAATATAACTATAATCTTTCTCCTGGTTATATGACAATTCAAACTTCAGCCTTAGGGTAAATGGGTCAAGTCAGAGAAGCCAAAATGACTTCATGTTTTCCTTTTCCCAGGGCAATTTTCCAGGCTGAGCCATTGCAAAGACAATCACTGCTTAGGCAACTGAAATATCTCAAAAGACTAGTTGCTTAATAGGACAAGAAATTCTTGAGATTCATACAAAAGTAGACTCTCAAATGGCCAAGATTGTTGTGAGTTGAAACTTAGAGAAACAGGACAAGACAAAGTGCTTGTTGCTTGATGCAAACAGGATGAAATGTCCTGGTATAGATCAGTGATAGAAAGAATGCAGTGGATTCCAGAGGTGAGTTTGAAAACCTAACAGTGCAAGGATGGGAGAGAAGCTAAGAGGTTTAAACGTGTGTGTGATAACAACAATTAATTTTTCAAAAGTCCCACAATTGTGCATTAACAAAACATTTCTGGTTGTCTGGTAGGCCTCTCCAGGCATAGATCAAATGAAGTGCATTCTGACTTCATGGTAGGTCTATTTCAGAGATTGTTCACAATAGTTTTTGTTGTTGGCAGACCTGCAGAAAAGCAAATGCTAATATGGTCTCCTGTAGACATTAAAATCTATGCAGGTTGGGACATAACAACAGTGTCTTTGTTGCTTGCTCTGACAAGGAAAATCAGGGATGCAGCACCCAAGACAACCTTTTCTGTGCATAATCTGTGTTTCTGAGAGAGCATGGATTTTCACAGGAGAGAGATTAGCTTTATGTTCTTATTTTAAAAAATACTCTTGTCAATTTATATTTTATATGCACTTTTATATTTATACAGTATTTAGCTTCTTACCTAGTGGATTGAAAGCAGCTTAAGGTAGTTCATCATGCACAAGATGAGGATGCTAATAAATTCTGACCATTGGAACTCGGGACAGGTCTGTATCACAGAAGAATGTGAAAAGTGGGCCTTTGCTCCATACTGGTTATGTCACCACTCTCTTGGAAATGTAATATATCTGACTTACCCATTAGTTTCAAGAGTCCCTTCTGCTAAATGGTATATTGCCTGTCTGCACATAAAGATTTTTGTTGTGCCTAAGAACCACAGGAGTGTCACAGAATGATTGTGTCCTCGTATCACATACCTTGAGGAAAATATTTTTCCAGATTGGGAGGTAAGTAATTTTTTTTTTTTTTTTTTTTTTTGTGATGAGGCTTGTGAGGCCAAATGCCACTAAAGATGGATCTGTGGCTTTCACTATATTGTGCTCCTAAAGCTCCTTAAAAAAAACTTTAGCCTGGGTTTAGCTCTACTTTTTTTAAATGAAAATTATTTGAGAAGCAGAGACACAGGTGGATAGAAAGGAGGTGATGTACTCCTCTCTGCTGATTCACTTCCCAAATGCGTGCCACAGGCATCAACTAGTAACTTAACCTGGGGCATCTATGTGGATGACAGGCACCCAAGTACCTAAGTCAGCACTATTGCCTCTCCAGGTGTGTGTTAGCTGCAAGCTAGCATCAGGAACTGGGAAACGATGATCCCTAATGTGGGACTCAGGCATTGCAAACACTAG